GTTACAGTCAGGTGCAGACTTGGGGGCGGGGTTACAGTCAGGTGCAGACCTGGGGGCGGGGTTACAGTCAGGTGCAGACCTGGGGGCGGGGTTACAGTCAGGTGCAAACGTGAGGGCGTGGTTACAGTCAGGTGCAGACTTGGGGGCGGAGTTACAGTCAGATGCAGACTTGGGGCGGGGTTACAGTCAGATGCAGACTTGGGGCGGGGTTACAGTCAGGTGCAGACTTGGGGGCGGGGTTACAGTCAGTTGCAGACCTGGGGGCGGGGTTACAGTCAGGTGCAGACCTGGGGGCGGGGTTACAGTCAGGTGCAGACCTGGGGGCGGGGTTACAGTCAGGTGCAGATTTGGGGGCAGGGTTACAGTCAGGTGCAGATTTGGGGGCGTGGTTACAGTCATGTGCAGTCTTGGAGGTGGGGTTACCGTCAGGGGCAGACCTGGGGGAGGAGTTACAGGTAGGTGTAGACCTGGGGACGGGGTTACAGTCAGGTGTAGACCTGGGGACGGGGTTACAGTCAGGTGCAGACCTGGGGGCGGGGTTACAGTCAGGTGCAGACCTGGGGGCGGGGTTACAGTCAGGTGCAGATTTGGGGGGGTGTTGGTGTTTTGCTGCTGTTTTTCCTGCAACAGCCCCACTGGAAGCCTCTCCCTCTCTCTCTTTCAGTTCATCAGAAGTCAAATTGATTTCCACAGTGTGAGGACAGACAGACAGATACAGATGATGTGATAGGACACATCTCTTCCTGCTTTAGCCCCTCCCTTTCCTGCCTCCTGCTGCTGCTTTCGGCACTAACCTCATCTTGAGCCAATGAATGCAAAGAAGAGACGTGGTTCTGTCTTATTCACCTTCCTGTCATCTCCTCCCCCTCCTCCTTCACCACGTGCCGTCTGTACCGCTCAGTAGCTCCACCCAGCCGCCGGTGAACGTCCACACCGAACCAGAACCAGAACGGACTCTGTGCCACAGATATTCAATGTGACAGACATTTTCTGTATGGAAAAAGGATCCTTTGCTCGTCTTTCATGCATGTACATTTCCACAAATGTCAGTGGTCTCCTGTGGAACGACACAGTGAAGGAAATGAAAGCGGCTGATCCCAAAGAGGATCTTCATAAAGTATAAATATTCGTTTTAAATCTGACTGGATCTTTCAGTATTTAATGAATTTTCATGCTGTGAAGTTTTTTGTATTCCTCTGAGAAGAGAAACCATGTTGTTGTAAAGAGCTCGTGGAAATGTTTTAACAGAAATCTGAATGTTTACTTGTACATAAACGTGTCGTCTTACAGTAAACGATCTGTTTGTTAAAAAATGCACCTTATCACACTAATAATCTCTTTCTGACTTTATGTTAAAAATAACTGCAGTTAGTTTCTGTAGACTTGGAGGGACACTGTGCTCTGACACACTTACCCAGGTGCTTTTATTTTCTTAATCTGCGCTGTGAACTTCCTGCTGAGGCTGAACAAGGTCAAATAAAGGATCAGGAAATTATTTAGTGGGGGGAAAACTATATGACCCAATTGTTTCTGTATCCTTCATTTAATTATCAAACATTTGGTTCTGGGAAACGTTTGATTGCTGGGTGACCGGATGATTAAAAAAATTACAATTTATAGGTCATTTAATGTAAAACAAATAAAAATCACAGATGTAATCCAAGCTAATGACTGGAAAACACCTTATATTACATTTTAATTGCAGACTTAGTGGTCAGAAGCCTCACAGTTGAGATAAATTATAAATAATGTACAAAATAAACCATTTCACTTTATTTTCCCGTATTTAAACATTGTGCCTATACTGTGGATTATTTTGTTTCAAACTCAAAGAGCAGTAAATTGTTACCGAGGCGTCAGAGCTTCATGTTCTACGTTATTAACATTAAAACCTCAGCGAGTAAAAAATTAAAAATAAAAAAATCACATTTTAAAGACAACACAAGTCTTTGATTCTGTCTGGGCTGAATGTCGACCCAGCTGGTGCTCGTCTTTCTAACTTCCATCCCCGTGTCCTCTGATTGGTCCAACAGGACGTMTTTTATTCTCCTGCCATTTGCTTCTAAAGACTGTGAAGTTTTTCCTTTTTTTTTATTCTATTGATGATTTTTTTTGTTTTGTTTTGTTAGCTGCTCTGCAAAGATGCCTAAACTCTAAAATGTTTATTTTTGAAATGAAACATTTAGAAGAATTATTTTACTAACAGAGCCACTTGTTTGACGCCGGGTTCAGGATGAACCTGTTTGCAGATCCGAGGCTTCGTTCCAAACGTCAGCTGTGTTTTCTGTCCAACCAGCCTCTCTCCCCCTGAACTTTGTCAACCAGCCACTTTGTCTTTTATTTGTTTTGATGAATTTAGACAAAAAAAAAAAAAAAAACAAGTCGAGCGCAAACGACCGGGAGCTGCCAGTGTTTCGTTTTTCTTCACTAAAACAGTCCAAGGTTCGACTGCCCCGGCTGCAGATCACACTCAGACTGTGAAGAGTTTTATGAGGAAAATAAAATAAAGTTATTGTACAGAGAATTTATGATATGCATGCTTTGGGGGCAGCAAAAGTGTAAGATTTGATGACCTCAAATGTATGGTAAATTTCTACTATCAAATAAATTTTATTGAGACCAACACTTCCCGTGTTTCTGTTCATTTGTTAAAGGCCTTTTTATCCCAGCAGGTTTAGAAAGAAGGCTAAGTTTCATCTTTTACTTTCATGAGTAAGAATTCTTTTGCTTGAATTCAAGCACCTAAAGACGTTAAGTTTTGAGTTGAGAGTTTTTATTTGCTTGTTTCACACATCAGAGGCTCGGCATGACTCCGGCTGGTGTGTGTGTGTGTGTGTGTGTGTGTGTGTGTGTGTGTGTTCTGTGCATAACAATATTTTCACTGCATCCTTCCTGCCCCAACCCTCCTGCTCCTAAAACAGGTATACCTTTTTCTACTCAGCTGTGTGTGTGTGTGTGTCTGTGTGTGTACTTGTTTTTGTTCCCCTATTTGGGTATACACACCTACCTTGTCAAGACCAGTAGTGCTAATGGGGACCAAAGGCCAGTTTTAATTTGGTGGAACTCCGTTTTTGGGTTAGTGGTTGGATTTAGGACCAAGGTGTGAACTGAGTTTAGGTTAGGTTTATGATCAAGTAGGTACCTGTGAGGTTAGCCTTAGGGTTGGTGGTCAGGGTTAGGCTGCAGAAATGTAATGGAAGTCAATGAATGGTCCTAATAAGGAAAGAAATCCAAACCTGTGTGTGTGTGTGTGTGTGTGTGTGTGTGTTTTGTGACACAGAACTATTTTAAGACAAAACACCTGAACCACTGGTACATATGGGGACCTAAGCAGAGTCCCTGTTTTGTTTAAATTCCATTGGTGGGATGGGGATTCAGTTTAGGACCAAGGTGTGAATTGAGTTTAGGTTGGGTTTAGGGTCCGGTTGGTCCTCGTGAGGTTAACTTTAGGGTAGGTGGGCAGGGTTAGGCTGTAGAAATTTGATGGAAGTCAATGTAATGTCCCCATAGGGTATAGGTCGACAAACGTGCGTATGTGTGGGCATGTTTTTGCTACATCGTGAGAACCATTTTCCAGAAAAATGCAGCACCCCCCATGGGTACAGATGCTAATTTCGGGTGGGGGGTTTGAATCAGTTAATTTTAGGGTCAGGTTAACCTGACCCTAAAATTAACCCTAAAATTAATTAACCTGTGAGGTTAATTGTAGGGTTTATGGTCAGGGTTAGGCTATAAAATCACCAGAAAATGAATGAAAGTCAATCCATGGTCCCCACGGGGATATAAAAACAAACCTGTGTCTGTGTTCGTCTTAATCACTGCATTTCCATCCTTTTAAAACCACCGTCTGGTACTTTAGAGGTACTTGTGTACGAGACAAACAGGAAGTAGTTGTGGCTCGTCTTCCTCGTCGTGTTTTTCAAAAAGTGAGAATTTGCATTAAAATTTCATCCTGTGGTGATTAATTTTTAAATGTTTTGACTGTGTGACGAATGAGGACTGTCTCTTTTTACAGAACAGGGCCCAATTACGCCCACTTTTGAGCGAATGGAGTCCATCGTAAGTGAAAGAGAATTTCAGCGTYTTTTAATGTCGTTAATGTTTGAGCGGCACATTGGCTGTGGGAGCTGTGGGAGCTGTGGGGGCTGTGGGGGCTGTGGTGTGGCTTTGGGAGACTCTTGTTCTCTGAGCAGAAGGGATGTGGTGTTTCCAGCAGCATGTTTTTGTGTTTGTGCAGAAGCTAAAGCAGCTTTTGTGAAGTCYTGCATGCTTAACTTTCTCAGCCACAAACACAACTTCTTTAGTTTTCTCTGTGTTGACTTTTTTTGTGTTTGTTTGTTGTTGTTTTTTGTCCTCGCAGCAGAATTCCACCCTTTGAGCCCCGCGTGGAGGCTCCAGCTAAACCGCCTCATTCTGATGAGGATGAAGACGAGCCGGAGTCGGAGCAGCACGATGAAGCTCACTACGACTCCGTGGATAAAACTTCAGTCGCCATCGAGAAATTCTGAGTTCAGCCTGAGATAAAACCAGAGAATCGTCCATCTGTGCACCGGAGGCAACTGCAGAGAAGTACGAGAAGATGAAAATCATAAAAAAAATGAGTGAAATCAGAGAAAATCTGGATTTTATTTGATGTTGAGGAAGGAGATGAGTTTGTTCAGCAGCTTTTCAGTAAAAATGATTCATTTTTTGCACTTCAGGAAGACAAAAAGAACAGATTCTGTTTGTTTCCTCACTTGGTTTGTTCTTAGTTGAAGCCTGGATTATTTCCTTTTTCCTTTACTTCCATATCCTCACAAAAAACTAACTTCTACTTTAAAAGAAAAAAGCAGTCCTGCTTCAGTTTTCACTCATTCCTGTTGGAGGACGGAGTTGTTTTAGTCTTTAAATTATGATTTATTTTGTTTTATCTTGAATAATTARGATGTTTTTCTGTATTTCGGTTTATTTTTTGTCTTTTGTTTACTCAGATTGCTTTGGAACTCGTGATTTTTCCWTTTGAGATAAATTCACTTTTTTAGCTTACAAAGCGTTAATTGGTTTAAAAGTTTGCAGAAAAGTGACATGTCTAAAACAAATTGTAGCATTTACACATTGATGCACTTTTACAATAATAGATTTATAATAGTTTAGTTATGTGTCTGACGGCTTTATGAGCTTTAACTGATCAGATTTAACTCTGGGTTGATTTTTAAAGCTGCACATCTGCACGGCTGCTGAAATCAGACTCATAAAATAATTCAAAGAACTGGTTTAATATTTTCAGTTAATTTCTGCAGCAGAGTTGATTTTTTGATCTGAGGGATCAACAGAAACTCAGCATTCTTATTTCAACATTTCAGTTTTATTTCCACAAACTTTGCAGTACTGTGAAAGTTTTATTTTTCTGTAGTTTTTCATTCTTTAATTTTTGAATGTCGATCAGTTTTTCAGTAACTCTTTATATATTTTGCTGCTGTTTAGGTTTTAGTAAATAATTCAGTTATTTTTTTTAGAAATGAATTAATAAAAATGGGCTCAACTATGATTTAAAACCTGATTTAATGTAATACGAGAGTTACGTCTTAACAGATTTAGAACAGAGTCCTGACTTTATGACCAATAAAATGTCAGATTTTTTTTCATTGTTTTGTTTTGTCTTAACTGTGAACCTACAAAAACACATTTTTTACCTAAAATCATCAAGAAAGGGAGAAAGAACACTTAAAGTTGTGTAAACCAAAGTTTATTTCTATCTGAAAGTACAGAAAGCGATGATGAGACCAGGTCAGTGTGGGGCGCACGTTTCTGACATCATCCCGGTTTTTCTCCTGAATATTTCTACAATCAGTTCAGGGCCACAGCTGCAGCCACGTTGCTTCAGTTTGTCTCCATTTTGGGGCAAAAAAAMCCCCTCTGAACTCAGACCTGAAAGCCAACACCTCGACTCTTTGGCAACAATTAACAGCGATGTCCTCCATGATTTCTCATTTTCTCTTCCTCACAGGAACAATACAGAAATACTTCTTTAAATTCRTTTTTGTTGAGATACAAAAATATCACAGACAGCCAAGATGTTTCTAACCTAACTGTTACAGAATACTAAAGCCTCTGGAGGCAAACAAACACTTAGACACTACATGTGGATTTAAAAACAGAAACCTGTACTTTCATGGCTCCTGGGACTCAGCTGGGTTTTATTTTCAGCCTTCATACAGAGAAATGAAGCATCTTAACACTGATGGTAACAGCAGCTCCCGCCGTCTTTTCAGCTGATCAGACGAATTCGACTCGACACAAATAAATATGGCTCTAGTTGTTAAAAACGTTCAGAGGACAGTCCTCATCCTTTAGCTGAATCTTCATCTCTTTTAAACAGACGACGTGTAAGAATTTGGCAAAAACAGAAACATATTGGATGTTTTAAAGTCAAACCTTTTAACCTCTGAGTTTTGAAAATGTGAAGTCATTACTGGGTCATCCCAGTCCCTCTCTGCTGTCGAACCACTAGGAGGAACCGGTGAGACTAAATTAATTTTATTTCTTCCCTGCAGTTGGAGCAAAATGACAGATTCAGCAAACGTAACCTGCTTTAAAGGACGTTTAAACCAAGAACAATAACTGTAATGATTCCGATGGGRCTGTCTGCATGGCTGAGAGAGAAACATTTGTGGACACAAAGGACTCGCGTCAGACTCCAGATTTACCCCAGGAAGGATTTTGATCATCTATGATGCACAGAAAAAGACTTACAACTCCTTCTGAATGTTTAAACTCTGCTTTTTAAATATTGAATGAAAGCACACAGCTCTGACATCTATTCTGTATGAACGATTCCCTTCCAATGCAGAAAGTTTTCTTAAAGGAGACATATCATGTTTTTAAAATCCTTCTTTTTCACTTCAAATCTTTCATTTGGGGTCTAGAAAGTGGACCTGCAATACTTTGGCCTGAATTCCTCCTTATTGTAACTCCACAAGCCCCTCTTTCACCCCTTTTCAACTCGTTTTGAGGCTGTCTCTTTCAATCAAAATGAGGTGCTTCACACCCCGCCCCTCTCCAGCTTCCAGTGGGGTCCATTCTGGTTTGATARAAGGGTTTATGACTATATAGAAGATCTGTCGATATTGGAGCCAGAGTCTGACCCAGAGGAGAATGAAGACCACCAAACTGTAGCTGGTAAGTTCAGCTCTTATTTAGAAGCTCATGGAAAATGGAGAAAACTGAATTGAGTTGAAAAATATGATGCAAACAGAATATGTTTGCAGCACCGGTCAAAACTAATTAAACTTTTCTGCCTCTTAGAGACTCCAAGTACACAACAAAATGTATTTAACGGCTAAAAAAGTGGATTTTGCATGATATGTCCCATTTAATTCAAAACCAGATTAAACTCCCTCATGAGGGTCTTTGTTTACCTGACTCAGAAAAATGTTTCGGTCGCATGTAATACGATTAAGAAAAGTCCCCAGACAGGAAGGGAAGTGTTTTTAATTTCAGATTAGAAGTCCAGTTTTGTGGTGTTTGGATTTGTCATGTATCTACACCAGCAGTCTGAGTAGATTTGATTGACCTGACTTCAASGTGTTATTTGGGTTCTTAAAGGCTAAACTGGAGATTTATTGCTCGCACAACTAACTTTTTACTAGAGCTAAACTGCTCGTGTGTTCAACCAATCACAGCACAGTGATGTTTTTGACCACTTCCTGCTTCACAGATGTTTCCTCACACAGTAGGAAAACTCGGTGTCAAATCTTGAGACCTCCTYTGTTCTGATTAACAAATAAAAAAGAACAATATTTACAACCAAAGTCAGTCAAAGTTACAGTTATTGTTCTTAGTGAGCTGATAGAAGCATGTTAGTCCAAACAGCTGTGATCAGTTTTCAGATGAAAAGTGTTTGTGGTTGTAAGAGTGATTTTAATTTTTTTKTCCATCAGGAAACATTTGAGGTTTCTATCAGCACTGGATTTACAAGATCTTTGCATCAATGTGATGAAGTCCAGATTACTCAAAACAAATCCAGCTTTTCTAATAAATGATTCAAAGCTGAGGCAGAAAACTGTTGAAATGAACTTTGAGCGAGCCTCCATGTTTTACCACCAGCCCTTTTTGGGGGGCTGAATAAGTAAAGTCCTTTTGAGTCTCTTGTAACCATGTGCTGAAGAAACAAACCAACAAGTGAAATCTAATTGTTTTTTTTTCTTTGTCTTATTTTAGAGAGAATATTCTGATACCTGCAGTAAAGATGGGCTGGTTGTGATCACATTAGTGCTTCTGATGCAGCAAAGAAAACGTCTCAAAGAATTAGGTTGTTGGTCAAACGCGTCCAACAAAAATYGTCTCTTAACAGTCCCATTGCACTGCAGAATGTCTTTGTGTCTCTGAGAGAATCATAACGTTATTTTCCTTGTAATGCCTCAAGCGATCGTGGTATTTATTAATGCAAGTAAAACATTTCCTCAAAAGTACAAAGACTAAATCTGTACAGTCTTGTTCGAAGTGTCGACCCACTGTTGAAAAGTCAWACTCGGCAACAATCTGGCAACAGTTTCTGTGTCCTGGTTTAGTTAAGATGGCTCCACACCTTTTATGAATGGAAAAAAAAATGAAAGAGGAGACAGATATRATGCTTTTTTAGGAGTCATTCATCCGTTTTGTCTCTAGGATCCAAAAAAATACACATTTTTTCCTCTTCGCTCCTTTATAGATTAAATCATCTGTACCGTGAAGGTTAATATTGTAGAAATGTAATATCTTATCATTCTCTTTTCAGTGATCTAAACTACTTCACCTGGTCCTACGTCGTGGTAAGACGGTGTTTTGTAAAAGTGTCTGCAGGCGGTGAGAGGCACTGACTTGTGTTTTGAAAACCTGACGATAAAACAGAAATCTGAAGTCATGCTGAGACCGGCCCGGTTGTTATAGAGGCCAGAAAAATCCACACGTTCTTATTCTTTGTCTCCGTCTTCACTGCTTCCTATTTAAAAAAAAAGAGACAAAACAGAAAGAAGTCATGTAAACAAGCTGGTTCAACTGCTTATCAACCAAATATTTGGCAAAAGTTTTTGCCAGAGTCCCAGACTGAAATTGATTCCTTATAAGCTCAAACATAAAAGAAGGTGMTGAGGAGACCAACCTCCTGCTGAGTCCATATCCGAGTCAGTAATGTGAGTGATGGAGAACCGGGACACATTGGACGGGGAGACGGTGAAGCGTGAGAACTGGGTGGCCGGTTTGGGGTCCGGAGCTTTGGTGACGGAGCGGGGCGGGGGAGAGTCAGCTGCCACCGAGGACGTCGGCAGAGGACCGAGAGAGAAGTCATCCTCCCACTCGAAGCCTGTGCCTGACGGAAGATGGTCAGTGGTTCTGTGATAGTCTTTTTTATACATGTAAATCATTTAATGGTAGACAGCAACAGAAGAAAAGCACTCACTCTCCTCAGAGACGTTCCCGTCAGAAGAGTCATCGGAGGCGTTAAGCCTGTCGTGGGATTTTCTTTTTGAGCTCCGACCCTCTGATGCTAAAGGGAAGCCGTGCTCAACCAGCTCTTTAGTCGGACTCTCCTGTTGGAAAAAAAAACATAATACAGAGAATAGTAACTCAGAGCTGTTCTAATTCAGTCAAAACAGGTTTAAATAAAGGAAAACTGAGGAAAACTCCTAATGATTCTCTGGTAGAAACATCTATAAAAAATTTGCGTAGGTCCACTGGATGGGTTCTTCTTTGTTAAACATTTCATCTCTTCTCTAAGAGACTTCTTTAGTCTGAGGAGTTACAGCTGAACTCAGGCTTATAAGCAGTACCTCACATGGCAGACAAACAAGTTAATGACAATCAAAACTTGTTAGTGCCTTGTTTCCTACTGTTCACAGGGGGCTGAGTCATACTTGCAATAACAGAATTGTAAAAGGGGGACTACGACAGAGACCTTCACCCCTGCTTAACGACGGTTTCTCTTCATGAAAATGGCTTCTTTTACTCCTTTCTCAAACCAACACTCCTCTCTATCAAGGATGAGAACATTTTCATCCCTGAAAGAGTGTCCGCTGGCCTGTAGATGAGTGTAAACTGCAGATTTCTGGCCTGATGATGTAGCTCTTTTGTGTTGGGCCATCTTTTCGAACAATGGGTACTTTGTTTCCCTGATGTATAACTGATCACAGTCCTCTGGCACTTAACAGCATATACAGTATTACTCTGTTTGTGCTGGGGAACTGGATCTTTGGGGTGAACCAGTCTTTGCCATAATGTTTTGGGGTTTGAAAGTCACGGGACATCATGCAACATATGGAATGACCACTGGTCTGGGTTTGGGGTCCTCCTTTTCACCTGACGGCTGAAGTCCTGTTTGGGTTTTGTAATTGCAAGTATGACTCAACCTGTGAACAATAGGCGAAAATCAGGGTCCTAACAATCGGTTGTTAGGTTGATGGTTCTCTTTTGCATGTGAACAAAAAATTTTGATTGTCATCGTTAAACTTGTTTTGAACAAAGAACTCATCCAGACGACCTACTCCACCTTTTTTTTAAACTGTAAATGTTTCCTCATCGCCACTGACCTGATCAAACAGGTAGACGGTGACATCATCGAAGAAGGACACGGTCTTCTTCTTTCGCTCCAACTCCTCCTCCAGGTTCTCTGCAGTCAGCGATGTTGGCATCTTGAGGAGGCTCCTGAGTTTGTGGGCCTGGCTGTTGTCGCTCACCACAATGGGCACTGGGTGGCACTCTTCCTCGCTCTCCTCGCCGCCGCTCTGCACGCTGTAGGTTCTCAGCTCCTCGTCTGACTCGTCGCTGTCGTCGGTGTCGCCGTCCTCCTCRTCGGCCTCCTCGCCATCAGCTGGAGGTGCTCGGCCCTCTGTTGTTGGAGGTGGAGAAGGAGGTGTCGATGGGGAGAGGGGTGATGAAGAGGAGAACCTCCGGCTGTTTGCCGTGTGCTGCAGGGCCACCTCATCTTTGGGTAAGGTGTGCAGGGTTTCACTTGGTCTTTTTTGAACAGTTTTTATCACTGTCTCCTCCGTCTCCGAAGCTTGAAGAGAATCTTTTTTGTCCTCAGTTTCCTTCCCGTCCTCCTTAAAACTGGAGGCACAGTCTCCATTAAGAGCACCAAGAGCCTCCTCCATGGCCCCCACGACCTCGGCTGCCCAGTCTCCCAAGGAGGAACTCTCCTCCTGGGACGGCCATTCATCCAGAATCCCCTCAGGGTCTGACGGCTCCGGAGACGGTTTGGGTTCCTCATCCTGGCAGCTCTCCTCTGTCTCCATCTCTGGMGAAGTACAAGATTCCGTTGCTTCTTTTGTTGCACCTCCTTTGAGTTTAATGTCTTTGTTCACCACAGCGTCTTTTATTTCCCCCTCCTCCTCTTCAGTTTTTCTTTTCTCAGTCTTTTTGTTTGCAACCTGCTGTTCCTCTTCATCATTTGGTTCATCTGTTTTTCTCAGCTGGAATTCCCCCTCATCATCACGGCCTTGCCTCTCATTCTCATAATCTGAAAAGTAGGCGGAGTCTCTGTATGGAGTCTTATCACTCAGAGGTAAAAGAACGTGGTCGCCGGTCTGTGAGTTCTCTAAAGCTGCATCTTCACCCACTGATGCTTCCCCTTCTGAGGGTCCCACTTTACTCTCATCTTCCTCCAGACTCGCATCAAGAGCAGGCTTTCCCTGAGCCTGTGGCCGGTCGTGCGACTCTTTAGGGACAAACTCTGGACTCTCATTGTTCTCTGTGTCGTAACCACTGTCCATGGCTTTAGGAGAGCTGGAAGGGTGGGATGATGCAGGACTGAGGCCCTCACAGGATCCAGCTGCAGATGGAAGGTCCATGGAATCCATGGAATCTGGAGTACCTACCTGCTTCTGGAGAGATTTGAAAGCTGGAGACGCATTCAGCTCGCTGCCATCGTCGGCAAAGATCCCAGAGGTGACGTCTGTGATATCGTCTGTGATGTCGTCATCGTCTTCGTCGCTGCAGTCGAGAATGTCTGCAAGGCTGACTGTGGAGCCGCCATGTTCCACGCCACTGTCGGCGGCGTGACTCAGCTCTGATTGTGGATCTGAGACAGCCACCATCACATGCATGTTGTCCGCGGGAGGCGGAGGGGTCTTAGTCATTGTCAGGTTCTGCTCCTCTATTCTCGGTTCTGGTGGTTTCTGCATGATTGGGTTTTCTTTTATCACTTCCTCTCTCTTCTCTTTATGTGGAGTTTCATCAGATATCAGATTAGCATACTGCTCGTTACAGTCTGGAGACTTTAAGTTGTGTTTAGGCACAATGGGACCTCCTGGAGCTGGTGAGAGGTTGATCATCTCTTCATTGTTTGGGATATCAGTGGCCTTATCTCTAACGTAGTTACTGTGACTGTGGCTGTGACAGTAGCTGTTGTTTCTGACCAGCAGGCCTGTGAGTGGATCAACGAAGTGGGTGTGGCAGCACTCTCCAGATGCTGGCAGCTGAGGCTCTCCTTCATGGCACAGGTAGATGTAGGCATTGCAGCTGTCTGAGGGCACCATGGCATGATGTTTGCTCAGACTGAGGCAGGCACTGTTGTCTTTGGCCTGGTGTGGCTCCAGATAGTCAATGGGTTTGGGCAGAGAATGAAAAGCCAAGTTATGCTCCTCTGGCCAGGTGTCTTCGATGTCTGTGCTTGGCATTGTGTAATGAAAATCAGCATAAGTGTCCTGTCTGCAGCTGTGGCTCGCCCGTCTGTGGCGGCCCGCGCTGCTGTGGCGGTGTTTCGAAGGCCAAGTGTTGCAGGAGTGTCTCTCGATAAATATGTCCTCCTCTTCCTCCTCCGACTCGCTGTCTCTGTGCCCAATGAAGAGGGCACCTCCAGTCTCCATGTTGATACTGATCGAGTGGCCGTTGTGCCTCGTGTGGCTCGGCATGGTCTTTCTTAACGAACCCATCATGTCGTAGTAGCCCCCGGTGACATTCTTTCCTAAGATGGAGGTCTGACTTGTGTCCAGGTAGGGGTCTCCGAAAGCCTGTTGGGGTGGACTATTTACGGACGGAGAAATACCAAGTGGGTTATCCAGTTCACCCAAAGCCTGACGGAGGCTTCTTGATCCCCAGCTTTCTTGATGAAGCTCGCTGGAGTGCTCACTTCCAAACAGATATGGATCTATTCCTAAAGGTGGAGAATGCTCATAGTAGTAACCCCCATCTCTGTCTTTATAGGACACGTAGTGACTTGACTCCCAGGGTCGAAGGGGGCTGCTGTCGGACACTTGCCCTAGAAGAGGCTCCATTGTCAAGGAGATAGCTGGGCTTGAGTCGTTGGAGTCGTATGCATCAGATTTCTGGATGTCTGCAGACCAGTAGGGACCAATGTTTATAGCCTGTGAAGGGCAGGCCATGCATTCTCCTGAGTCTGCACTCCCAGTGAGGAAACTCCCACTGCTGCCCTGATAATCTGGGCTGTAGGAACACATGGTGTAATCCAGATCCATGTTACAGTCCACCGGCTCCTCAATGCGGATGTAGTATTCACTGCTCACTGAGGGGCTGTGGGCACTGAGGACGGGGAGCACGTTTGGTGGATGTAGATGTTTTGACTGATAGTAAGGAGGAGAAACTCCATGGCTCAGGTTTTCCATGGGGCACCCTCCAACAATGCCTCCCGGAGGGTAAAACTCTTCGTGACAATGATGGGTACTCGAGGAATCTGGGGCACTAAAAGTCTGATCTGCTCTGGCTTGCTCCCATTTATACTCAAAGTTCAGGCCATGGCTGGTCTCTGTGACTGTTAGTATGTCATCTCCAGACTCTGAGTGGTAACCGTCACCTGATGAAAACTGTTCAAGTAGAGGAAACGACGAGGAAGTCGATGAGGAGTGGTCTCGGATGATAACTGAGCCACTACGGTGGTTGTTGAATCCAGCATTGGGACGCAGGGAGTTCCAGCGCCTCTCAAAGTCCTCCTCGGCCTCGCTGGCCCCCTTGGCACACAGATAGCTGAGCAACAGATGGACTTCCTCTGCATTGGGTCTCTGGTCTGGTTGGAGCCAGCAGAACTGCATTACCTCAAACCTGAAGATGCAAAAAATAAAAATAAAAAATAAAAAAAGATGGATACTAAAAACAGATTCATATTTGAAGATAAATTGAATAATTTGCCGGTGTTTACAGTTGCTTTTTGGCAAACATTATGAGGCACCAAGTGTAAAATAAAATGTTTAAAAATGTCAAACACATTTTCATTATTTATAGCTCATTTTCTGAGTGTAAAAGCCTAGTTTCCGCTAAAATTTTATTGTTATTTAGCTCACTGTTATTTTGCTATACATCACTAAATGTTAAAAATTAAACGTTAAATTCTAAATCTAAATGTAAAAGTTAAAATTTAAATGATGTGGTTGAATGTTGAAGTTTACATTTACAAGTATTTTGTAATGGAACATAGCCTTTGCTGTTGGTGCTCAGTTCTTGAAAGGACCTCATCATCCTAAGACAAAAACTCTAATGCCACTAANGAGTGTAAAAATCTAGTTTCCGCTAAAATTTTAGTTATTTAGCTCACTGTTATTTTGCTATAAATCACTAAATGTTAAAAATTTAATGTTAAATTCTAAATCTAAATGTAAAAGTTAAAATTTAAATGATGTGGTTGAATGTTGAAGTTTACATATACAAGTATTTTGTAATGGAACATAGCCTTTGCTGTTGGTGCTCAGTTCTTGAAAGGACMTCATCATCCTAAGACAAAAACTCTAATGCCACTAACGCGCTAAAGAAAATGAGCTTACTTGCTAATGCTGCTAATGCCGCTAACACCGCTAATCCTTCCCTGGTGTACAAGCTGAACTTCAAACTGCTGGGCCACATGTATTTMAATTTGCTACCATCTTCAGCAGTGTTAGCATATTAGCAGTTGCTTTTGTCGCATGATGATGACATCAGCACCAACAGCAAATGCTTTATTTCATTCCAAAATAATTAAATGCATGCTATCATTTAGCTGCAACATTTAAAATTACATTTTTACGTGTATACTTATGATTTAATATTTACACAATTGTATAACATTTGAATGTACCATTTAGGGGAAAAAATAGCAAAATGTACTGGAAGAACAGCGAGCTAAAATAATAWAATGTTAGTAGACATTTTTTAACTACTCTCAGAAATGTGTTACTGACATTTTTTAACATTTTATTTTACACTTGGCGCCTCATRTTGCACAACTAAATTAACATTTGCACAGGAAATTGGAATACAGTCATTCTGCAAAGGATTTCATTGTGTCCCTAAAGGTTATTAAACCTGAGTTTGTGCGTGACTCACCAGCGTTCAGCCAAGGGCACTTTGAGCAGCGGTTTGGGCAGTCGCAGCTGCTGCTCCCTCACAGCGTACGTCAGAACCTGTCTGTCGGAGTAATGTCTGTAGGGCTGGTTTCCCAGCTCAAACAGCTCCCAGATAGTCACACCGAGAGACCTGAGACACAAGATGGTTTCCACATTCATTACTGTTCAGTACAAAAAAAATAAAACAGCTGGAACATTTGCTAATTCTTTTTTTTCTCGTTGACTCAACAAGCCTGGTGTTATAGAACATGCAAGGAATACAGGACAATTTTAAMATGTTTACAATGCTTTTTTGCTGCTAATTTCCATAAAGAATTAACATATAAACTTATACTAAGGAGGCAGTTAATGTAAATTCTGGATTTGGTCTGAAAACAAATTTTTAGTTTTTGTCTATTTGACAAACCTGAAGGTTCTAAAAAAAATCCTCCAAAACATATAAAATCAAAATAAGTTCAGAACTGGAAGTTTATATTGTTTTTGTTCTTAAATGTAAATAAAACACAAAAAAAGTAGAATGTTGACTTTTTTAGTGCGAGCCATTTTACAGTTTGGATTTATTAAATGTTAAAGGTTCTTACATTTACTTCAGCAACTTTTCTTTCCTCACTCAATTTTTGTCTTCCTGTTGGCTCACAAGTCAAAGTAGTGTTAGACTGTCTGATATTTCATTGTGTATTTTTTTTTTAAGATTTCACATCATCCTATATTTAAGTCTAAACTCCACGATGAAGGTTCAGGTTTTATTTTGAAAAGTTGGAGCATTAGTGTTGGTTCTACCAGATGTTGCTCTGTTGGGTCTGATCGGCCACCAGCAAGTTCCCGTGAACCTCATCCACGAGCTCCGGGGCGATCCAACGCAGCGGCACGTAYGACTGATCCGATGTTACATAATAGTCATCCTGATAACAAACACACAAATATGAATAAAATGACCTTTCCCAGAAATCAAAAAGAAAAATGAGCAGGTCCTCTGGATGGGTTCTTCTTTAATGAAATGTTTTGTCTCTCCTCCAAGAGACYTCTTCAGTCTGAGGAGTTTCAGGTGAACTCAGCCATATAAGCTCCGCCTCCACATGGTGGACAAACAGGTTGGTCACATGCAAAAGAGGATCATCAGCCAAACAATAGATCTTTAGTGCCTTGATAGGCTCTGTTGTTCAGAGAGGGTCATGTGCTCCACCTGACTATCATTGGAGCCCTGATTCACACCTTTTGCTCACAGGGGGCGGAGTCATACTTGCAATAACAGCGTTGTAGGAGGAGGACAACTGGACATGAAGGCCTCCACCTCTGTTTAATGGTGGACGATTTTTCTACACAAAAATGGCTTCTTTTACTCCTCTCTGAAACAAAACGTTTCATTAAAGAAGAACCCGTCCAGAGGACTTACTTATTTTTCTTTTGGATATTTCTACCTGGATTACTGAGATGCATCAGGACTTTCCCAGAAATATTTCCACATTTGACTTAACTTTAGATCAAATAAATGTAATTTTGTTTTATTTAGAATGAAAAGAAAATGAGACTGAATGTGTTCATATCAGAATAACCAGCTCAGACAGATTTACCTTGTACTTGGTGTGAGCTAGACCATAATCCCCAATTTTTACTGAGATGTCAGACGTCAACAAGCAGTTCCTTAAAGCCAGGTCACTGATGACAGATGAGGGAGAAAAGAGCTGTTACACATCTTCACTTCTTAAAAGGATATTTAAACTTAGATTAAAAAAAAACTGTAAATTAATGATCTGAAGAAGAGTGCTCACCGCCTGCAACAAAATCACTGATGCTGGAGTCTATAGTAGCACTCAGGCAGCACCAGGATATTGTTTCAGGAAGCAGCCAAAAGCTACATTTAACCGCAGCAGCTGATCTTAGCMTTTGATCTTTACATATAAAGCAAATTTAGCAGCTAAAATTTGCTTCTACCTGTGTTTGAAGTTGTGTTTGTGTAGGTGCAAAAGTCCCGATGCAACGTCACAGGCCATCCTCTGCAGGATCAACGGCTCAGGGGTGATGGTCTCATTGGACCTGCAGCTCCGGAGGTAACCCTTCACGTCCCCCTGGACACGGAGCAGATAAAACATCTGGTTGTTATAACTTCTCACCACTGGAGGGCAGCGTGAATCAATCTACAGCATTTTTATGGCCTCCATTTCCAGTCCTGACATGAAACTGCTCAATCCTGCATGAAGGAACAGCAGATCCTCTGGAAATGAGCAGAGAAATCCGTCCATCTGAGGGAGACTAGTTTGGACCTACATCCAGACCCATCGAACTTTATCTCAGGCTGCACGGTATTAACAGCATTTGACTCCATCCTGCAGCCATTTCCCTCCACAAAAATAAAGTTTAAAAGCGAACAAACGTGTTTTTGTCATCTTACAACAGATTACTTCATTTAATCTACTAGAATGATCCATCATGTGGAGCTGGGGATTGATTTTCTGCCAGGGTCGGAGCTGAACACAAGGAATTTGACTTTACACATTTTAATTAACAGCAGCTGTCAAAAAAATTAATTTGCAAACAGAAAACATTTCATAATAAATATAAATGAAGTGTTTCTGAGTTGAATTCCTTGAGTGGGGTCTAAGACGTTGCTGGTAGTTCAATTATTTGAGATTAAATGTGAAATAGAAGATTTTAAAGCCAAAGATTTGGACGTTTTTACCCATAATGCTTAAAAAGGCCTGTGATTTTTAAAAGCTCAGAGAAAGATGATGAGTTGAGTGTTGCTTTAATTAAAACGTGTTTGAAATCAGATTAATTTCAGTAAGTTGGACCTGTTTACAATGGGGCGCCGAGTATAAAACAAAAATTTATTAATTATTGTTAAATTTGTCACTAACACATTTTCATTATTTATCTAACTTTCTGAGTGTTAAATCCTAGTTTAAAATCCCACTAACATATTATTGTTATTTAGCTGACTCAYTACATTTTGCTCATTTTTACCAAATGTCAAATTTAAATGATAAATGTAAACATTAAATCCTAAATGTAAATGTAAAATTTAAATCCTAAATGCTGCAGCTAAATGTGGAAGTGTTTCAGAATGGAATGCAGCCTTTTTTCGTTGCTGCTCTTGTGATGACATCATCATGCTGCGACAAAAGCGTTATGCTTTTGTTACAGGACGATGACGTCTAACGCTGCTAATACTGCTGAAGATGGCGTCTAAAATCGAAATGGTACCTGTGGTCCTGCAGTTCGAAGTGCAGCTAGGACACMGGCCGTAGCCGCAAGTTTGATGTCTTGTGGGGAAGCATTAGCAGCGTTCGCATTAGCAGCGTTCGCATTARCAGCATTAGCAGAATTACCAATAGTAGCATTAGCAGCGTTAGCTTTAGCAGCATTAGAAGTGTTAAAAGAGTTGGTGTTAGCAGCAATAGTGGCATTACTTGTTGATTTTGTCACAGGATGATGATGTCATAAGAGCTGAGCACCAACAGCAAAGGCTGTGTTCCATTCTGAAATACTTAAATGTATATTTCAACATTTAAGATTTAACTTTTACATATATTTTCACACATTTAGATTCAAGATTTATTTTATTTAACCTTTAAATGTAACAGCTAGGGTTTTACACAAGTGAGCTAAATAATGAAAACCTGTTAGCAACATATTTATTTTACACTCGGCGACTCATAGTAGTCAGCATGATATTTCTTGTGATTGATTTATTTGTTGTGTTTGGATGCTCACCAGTGGACAGAACTCCATCACCAGCAGGTAGGGGGTGACCTCGGTGCACTGGGCCAGGCACTGCAGCAGAGCCGGGTGTTCCAGGGTCCTGCAGAGGAGACGGGGTTACAAATTAGCAGTGAAAACACGACCGCCTGACCTCGACGCTTCATTCTAGACTCGTACTGTTTCTATTTATATCTGTTCAAACTCTGAAAACATTCCTCAGCCTCAAGTCTTGCTTCAGCAGTTYGAGGGCAGGTTGTGCAAAAACTACAAATTTAATGAAGTTTGGTGCAGAGGCGCCAAAGGGAGGACAAGACTCTCAGAACTGTCTCCAAAACTGCAAAAAGAAAGTACTTTCTGCAAACTACCTCAATAAGTTTTAGCCCAATATGTGGCAGCGGATATGATTACACTTTTTTTATGATGGAGGGCAACACATTGCACCAAACACACAAATGATCAGAGCTATCAAGCGTACCTGTACGGTTTTGCTTCATCCAGGAAGCGCATCTGGTCCTGCACACCACTGCTGGTTTTGAGCTCCTTCACCACCACCTGGGTGGTGTTCAGGCCCGTGTTCACCTCCCCCAGCAGAACCTGGAGCAGTACAGGTGTGCACACAGGGAACACACAGATGCACAAAYGGACCCATTCAGCACGGAGTTTCACACACACACACACACAAAAAAAGAAGATATGAAGAGACCGTGCAGGAGTTGAGTAAAGACAGAAATGAAAGACGGACAGATGGACATGCCCAGGTACCGAACAGATGGAWGTTTATTCATGACAGGAAAGTATGAATCGGGACAAAGGGATGGGGAGAACAAGAGAAAATCATRAGTTATCTGCCAGCATTTTACTTTGAAATATTTTATCAGTCGAACATTTGTGTTAAAGTGACATAAAAAGGGAGCACCTGACTCTTATTTTACTCTCAGACCTGCTTYTAACATCCGTCCTAAACAATCTGATCACATTCTGACTTCACTAGAGGTCTCACTCGGGGCCAGTCCTKGCCAATTTGGCACCCTAGGCAAGATTTCARGTGGTGCCCCTTGTACAATTTTCTGAATCTCTCTGCTGATTCACAACATTTACATCCCAAATTAAATAGATTTGTCTTTAATACGATTTTATCTTTATAAATCAGGTTGTTAACAACAAAAATCATTTGAAACAGAATACCAGATGTCCACCTGCCAACACCTGCTGACAACAYGAGGAACACCTGTTCATGCTAACCAGCAGCTGTGGACTGAAGCAGTTCTGGGKGGGTCCAGSGTTTGTAAAAGGTTACTCAAAACTGCCTTTCCCACCCATTTGAAARGCATTTTACTAAATTCTTGGGATTTATAAACAACATAAAATCATTATTTTATGAATAAARCACTGAAAACCAGACTTTAACCTGAATTTTATCTTAGATCAGAGCTGAAACGTCTGTTTTCCTTATTTTGTTTTCTGTTTCGAGCACCAGGAGTTAGTCTGACTGCATCATATGATACTTTTATCATGAAACATCCTCTGCACCAGATAAYAGCTCATAAACCTGACAAGTGATTATTATACAGACTAAATTGGTAYAGAAATGTTTTTTGTCCCCTAGATGGACCGCGCCCTTAGCATTTGCCTAAACTGCCTACGCCACGGGCCAGCCCTGGCCTCAGAGCGTATTAAATGTTTTTGGGAAGTTCWGTGTTTTTCATGATTGTTCTGTTAAAGCTGATAAGCCCCACTGTGGTGTAGTTTTATGGATTAAACTCTTCAGTTTGTGAACTCACTGATCATATTACGCTCCTTTACTTCTATCATTTCATCTCTGACAGGTACCGTAATTAAGCTTATTAGGAGTTCTGTAACTGCGATTGACATGGTTCTGTCAGTCTTAACGGATGTCTGAAYGTTTAAGTTTTACAGAAATCAGCAGACTTGCTGCTCACTGACAGGACAGACATGACAGCATTTCAGACCTCTCAGGTGGTCTTACCTTCCCGAACCAGCCATTCCCGATCTCTTTCAGGTAGAGGAGACTGTGGCGGCCCAGATCCGTGGACTTCAGCAACTGGACTGGAAGAGAAGGGGAGAAGAGTTTAAACTCCGACTCATCAGAATCACAGTCGTCCAAAACAGAGCAAAGCTTCCCCAACGTTTAGACTTCTGATCCACAAAACGAGTCTGACGAAGGTCTGTGAGTCCATCTTTTTAAATAAACACAAAACTGCTTAAAGCCCACATCAGGTCTCAACCCCATGAGAACAACTGTTGTGGTTTATTCTCCAAACTGCAATGAATTTATTAAACAAAACATTTTTAATACATTAAACTGATTGTTTTAATAAACCAGGCCCTCAGATTCATAATGAATCCGTTTGTTTGATTGTTTAAATATTTCATCATTTCTGTTGCATATTATAACACAACAACACAGCTTAATATAAATTATGGATTCTAACTCACAAACAAGCTGAAGTTTATTTCAGAGCTGATCGATTTCTTCAAACAGAAAAACTTTAATGGCTGAAAAACTATTTTTGACCCATCACATCGAAACGAGGATTAAGTCTAAAAGTGGTGTATGGAGAAAAAGGCAAATATAGTGTTTTTATTAAAATGTTAACAAAAATTGCATTTTGTCAAAATATAATGAATAAAAGCCTTACCAATGTATCATTTGAATGAATTGTCTGAAATATAATCGTAAAACAAAATTTTGAAGCACTTTTTTGAGCAGCAGCAACAAAAAAATGATTTTGAGGAAAAACGCCTTAAATTTTTGAGATTTTTTCCCTGTGAGYTAGCAAAGTTTTGTTTCTTTCCAGCTGGGAAATCACAATATTCAAATAAAATTTGAGGTTTCCTCTTTATAAAACATCAAAAATTTCTCATTAAAATGACATAAAATTAGGATTCAGACCAAATATTTATGTATTATTGTAACCAACAATACAAATTAAGTCATGTATATGGATTTACTTATGATATCAGGATGATCCAGGTATCAAAATATAGATTTTAAAGCCAAGAATCTGAAAATGTAATTAGGTCATTTTGACCAAATTTGACTTAATCCTCATTTCGATATGATGGCTCACATTCATAGATTCATGATCTGATTTGTTTGAAATTGAAGAACGACATGATCTTTGGTCAAAACATAAAATAAATATTGAATTTTCTCTGATTTAATTTAAAAAATAAAACAAAATGGACTGAAAATGAGTGAAAAGCAGCCAAAAGGTCCAACAAATGAAACGATGAAACGAACCCGACCCAGGTTCCTCCGTCCAGCTGATGGATGTCAATCATCTCTAACATCAAAGATCCCAACGTGCCTGAAGACGCTGCCGTCAAACCCGTCCTGCCTGCAGAACATACCTGACCATCCTGTCCCGTCCTCTCCTGTCCTGTCCCAGATCAACCAAACAAAACCGACCGACGGCACCCTCCACCCCCTTCATTTCAGTCTGCAGCAGCCACAATGACACTTAAAGTCAAACAAGCAGATCTTTGTGGCGCTTCAGTCCCCCCACCAGACCCAAACAGTCCAGTCCACAGTCCCGTCCCCATACTGGTCATTCCTTACACCCACTTTCACTCTCTGCAGCCCAAAGCAGAATAGTCACCATTGTCTGGTTGTGTGGGACAGCATGGTACCAGTTAGGACCAGTTGGACACACTGGCACCATTATGTAGCAGCTCCACRAAAGAGAGAAGGACAAACAGAGGTTTGGAGACGGGTTTCACCTCCACCATCATGTTTACCTCAAACRTTCAGAACTCTAACAGAACCTTCTGCAAAACACTTTAAAACAGGTTCGATTCGTGAAAAGTTTGGGCCTGTTGTCGGGTTTTAGTCTTTTCTCTTTTTTTCAACCAATGATGTCATTTTTTCCTGAAACAAAGTTGAAAGAAAGAACTGAAGCAAGACTTCCTGCCTATCTTCTTGTTTGGTTTCTTGTCTGTTCAGCTCATCCTGTAACTCTATGATGGTGTATTATGGCCATTTTACTGATGAAAAAAAGGAGGCATAAACCTCTGCAAAAAAAAAAGAGAAAAAGAAAAAGAAAAAAAAAAGAAATTTTGAGATTAATTTCAGAAATTTTCAAGAAAAAACAAGGGAATTCTCTGAGCTCCAAAAAAAACCTCAGAAATTTCCATGAATAAAGGCAGAAATTTTCAACCAATGATGTCATTTTTTCCTGAAACA